GGTGTCGGGGTGAATCGAACATTCAAAACCATCTTTCAAGTTGCCGTTTGTCGAAATCTGGTTTTAGCGAGCGCGAGCTGATTTTGAGAAGAGCGGAATTTTTACATGAAATATCAAGGGAAGAAATACGCTCTATGACAGCATGCCCAAACCACCGGTACAACTTGGGCCGATACTGGAGACCTCGTCTAACATGCCAACATCCTTCTCACACGCGCCTACACGCCGCTGCAAAGGAAAAGATGTCATTAACCTGGAAGTATCACGGGATGCATTCCAAATTTATGGAGTACTTGTGCAAGTTGGTTCTCGTAAGTGATAAATATAGTCCAAATTAGAGATATATAATCGCATTGTTAATTTGTTATAGGCAATATAATTAGAGTTGCACCGCGAATAGGCCAGTGCAGCATTCGCATGGTAACATTGGAAATTAGAGGTATACTGTGGTATCACAGCGACATGCTGATAATTAGCTTTTTACTCGGGCTAGTAAAGCTAATTATCAGCATGTCGCTGTGATACTACAGTATACTTCTAATTTCCAATGTTACCATGCGAATGCCGCACTGACCTATTCGCAGTGCGACTCTAATTATATTGCCTATAACAAATTAACAATGTAAATTAGCAGGTAAATCAACCCTTACTAACCTATAATGATACAAACCAATATGATTTATTAATTAGTTTTAATAGCACATAAGGAAATTTTAAAGTACATTATTGACAATTTTATAATTACAAATATGTTAATACTATTTAGTCTGTGATGCATATTCTGCTCTACATACCTCTGCAGTACTGGCCAAACTGGAAAATATCTCACTCATGCTATGTTCATTAGTTACAGAATTTGCCAAACTGTTTTCCACTGAGGTTTCCAAGTCACTAAGCACACTGCTCTGTAAGTCATTTAAAGTTGAGTCATCTCTTACAAATTCCCAATCTGTAGCAAGGACCTCGATTTCCTGGAATTCTTCTTCTAATAACAGTGGAATATCATCCTTATTTATGTCACCAAATGTGTCATGAAGTGCAAATAAAACATTATTTGCATGGACATGTCGCCAAATCTCAACATGTTCCAATATATCAGCCAGGGTAAACAGGTGTTCACAGTTATTCAAAACCAGACTAATTTGAAACTGACTAAATTCAAAAACACATTAGGAGCACCAACTGGCATGAATTCTGTAACACTTTTTGGAAGTAGTGTTTTTCTATAGGTTAAAAGTTTCTGATGCAGTTCCTGTCGCTGGGCATCAGACACTGGTCTTGTTTTAGCTGGAATACTGCTATAGGACCTTACATCTGCATTCTTTCCAAATTCCATTGTTTGAATTGAGTTGTTGCATTGACAAAGCAAAGCACAGTTATCGCAACACAGGCAGTTTTTCTCACTTGTTTTATTATTAGTAACAGAGAACAGACTTACAATATACTCTCGCCGACATGATTGGGTCTGCATCAGCTGCTTCATTTGGCCATTACAGTGACTACTTAGCAGCCCATTGTGTAAAATATAGGAAATACACTGCTTTCCATCCCTACCAATTCGACCAGATTCTTGTACCAGCAATTCTACTGTCTTAGGAGGGCCAAAATGAATACTGCGATAAGTATCTTTACAATCGATCCCCATACCAAAAGCTATCGTGTATATAATAATCCTTAGATAACTACCCAAACGAGCCATTTCGTGAATAATATGTTGCTTTACTGAATTTGGGCTTCCAGCATGAAACATGTCAACTATTCGCATTGTGGGATCTTATTTTCCATATGCATACAAATTATCACTTATAGCAGGGCAAAACATTCGATAAATGACTGAACACTGTTTCCTTGTATGACAAAACATAATTGTTCGTTTAGTTTCATGCTTGAGGTCTTTAATCTCGTCAATCAAGTCCTTGAAAACAGTTTCAAGTTCTAGACTTTTGTCCACATAACAAAAGCAATAGCAAATATTGCTTCTTGCAGGTGATTTCTCTACACAAAATGTATCTTGCAGTGTCAAATCCAGCATGTCAAATAAAGTCATTTTTGTTACCTTGGTTGCAGTTGCAGTAAATATAGCATACCTCGTTGAAGGAAGCAATGACTTTAGCTCAATTAATTTTGAATACCATATTCGAAATGGCAATTCCTTTTCACTTGTGGACTTTCCCCTAGAATGTTTTAATGCAAACAATGTCAAAAATAGTATGACTTGCAGTATTGACCATCAACCCTTGTAAGTGGCAATACACCTATCAGGAAACCAAAACAATGCCCGATTTTACCACACTTCCGGTTTTGAAAAATGCAAGTTTTGAAAAATTTTTGATACAGAGGAACTTCAAGTTGTTTTATTTGAAGCTTGGTAGTGTTGCAATGATTCACGCTTTGATCAATTTTACACAAAAATATTGCAAAATAACAGGTTTTCAAAACTGGAAGTGCTGTAAAATCGGGCATTTTTTTGGTTTTGTGAACGGTGTATACGTGCTGATGTGCCCTACCTAATTATTTTACTCTGTTTGACGCCAGATGATTTTACTTGTCAAGAGGAGAGTGCTGCAGAGTCACTCTGCGCCCTACTTTATTATTTTACTCTATCTAATGCCAGAATATTTTACTCTGTGTAATGCCAGATGATTTTACTTGTCAAGGGGGTGGGGGGGGAGAGTGCTGCCACTCAATAATTAACCCACTGAGTGCCAGTGCTCTCCCTTTGATGAGTAAAATCGTCCGTGTTAGACAGACTAAAATAACAAAGTAGAGTGCAATGTAACCATAGACGGATTTTCATATTTATTACTGGGGTGGTGCCAGAAATTTTGGTGGGGTGGTGCCAGAAATTTTAGGGGGGTGAACCGTGAGCAGGTGACTGAAGCGACACAAAGTGTCACCAAACCCCAGTAAGGTATATATTCTAGGGGTGGAGCACTAGAGCCGTGAGGTGGAGTCTAGAGAGCAGAAAACAAAGTATCCCAGGAAAAATTTGAAAAAATCATGATTTCTAGCTTCGAAAAAAAGTTTTTTGAAGTTGTCAATTTGTCATATAAATGGATTTGGCATGTCCGATTGTCTGTTAAGACTTAAAGACTTAAAGTTAAATGAACCTATAAAAGTGTAAACCCAATAGGTCAATACACAATATGCTTTTACTTTTATAAAGTCATTGACATTGTGTTGTTTGAATCAGAGTACAATTTATGATGCAACTCCGACGTAAATAGTATTTGGGGCGTAAAAATTAAATCTAGGCAAGTCTATTTCCTAAAAGAATTAAAAACTAAAAATAGTGTTCATAAAAATTCCAAACGTTCCTTGCGTGCAAGGCACTGCAAACTCTATTCAGGGGAGATAATAGAGTTTCAAAACTTTACAATTGCTCCAATAAACCAGTGAATGCAAGCGAGGAGCGATTAGAGTGTTGCACTGTCTTTTTCTGTTCGAGTGTACTCCTACGTTTATTTTGCATCATCAACACTCTGCACGTTGGAGTGGACTATTTAATTATTTATTATGGCAAATATTGGGGGGGGGGTTGAAATGTTTTTTTGAGGGGTGAACATTTTGTTTGGGGGGGGGGTTATAGCTAATATTGGGGGGG